CTAAGGTGACGAAGACAAAGCTTCCTCCTGATTTGAACAATTGTCAGGACCGTAAGCTGTTCTGGAACAGCTCAAAAAATGAAGCTTGGGACATTTCTCATGGTGCTCCTCTCCTGAAAATTCTCTCAATGTGAGTTTTTGTTTTGTTTGTTTTGTTGTTACCCAGGACAATGGTGATTTCCAGCAACTGTATTCTTTTTGATAAAAGAGGACTCTGTAGATGTTCATTCATGGTACACTTTTTAAGACTTTTCATGTTCATCAATTTTTAAATAAAAAATAATCATGTGCTTTGTCAGTTTGAGAGGGGACAGTACCTCAAGGGGACTGCTTCTGGCCACCGTGAGCACGAGGAGACACAGCTGGCCCAAGCCTGCCAAACTCAGGAGTCTGCATGACATCTTTATGAGGAGAAGGGTAAGAGGCCCAGATGACCAAGCAAGAAGGGGAAGGAGAGAAAATTTGCTAAAGTAGGCAAAGGTCCTTTCCACAAGCAAACCCTCTACCCTGGGGCTTTACCAACTCAACTGGCTATTCTTACACAGCCAATAACACTTACATCCAGCAGCAGCTGCCACCTTGCTCGGGAACCCCAGGCTTTGCTATCTGCTAAGCTGTGCTGCTCGAGGCTGATTTGCAGTGAGGAACACTCCACATCTCCAGTTTGTATGACTGCACAGGGTGCACCTCTGCAGGTGCCCCTCCTCTGCCAATCCCACCCAAGTTTAGGTATGGAAGCAACTGCCAGGTTCCAGATAGGCACTGTGCATCAGAAGCACCTGCAGAAGGTTAAAAACAGACACACCTGGGCCTGCCCCAGGTTCTGCTCCTCAGGTGTTGGCTGAGGAGCCACCTGCTTCAGCTGCAGCCCTGTGTCCACTCCTTCCCTTATGATAGGCTGCAAGAGGGACAGGGAGGGAGCGTGTCCTTGTGTCCTTGCAGCATTCCATCACTGAACAAAGTCTATGCCAAGGAAGGTTTAAGAGGACAGTGTGAGAGTAGACCAGAAAAAAGATGCAGGAGAGACTGTAGCCTATACCACAGCCAATCTGTGGCTAATCATCACTTGTTAATGATAAACAGCAACTGACTCTTTCATGAACATCTGAGTGATCCTCATGAGAACCCTGTGAGAGAAGGCAGATACAATGATGAACTCATGAACAAGTGGAAAAACCAAAGCACAAAGAGGTTAACTTGTCCAGTGTCACAAAACTGATAAGCAAAGCCAGGCACGGTGGCATGCTTGTAATCTCAGCTACTTAGGATCAAAGCTACTTGGGAAGCAAAAGGATCACAAGTTTTAAGCCAGCTTGGGCAACCTACCAAGACCCTTTCTCAAAATAAAGACTAAAAAGGGCTGGGATATAAGAACACCCATGGGTTCAATCCCCAATATGGGGGGAAAAAGCTGGTAAGTAGTGCTGATAAGTTCCAGATGATCATGTCTCAGAGTTCATGTTTGAACCTCTAGATCATGAGGATATGATTGATATATGCTGGCAGCTTCAGAAAAGAAAGAGGGTCAGGGAAGGACCCAGGGCACCCCAGGAAGATGCAGAGAAGAGTGACAGTGTTTCTGTAGCATGGTGTCCTAGTCACTTTTCTCATCGATGAGACACAATGCCTGACATTGGCAACTTGAAGGAGGAGAGGTTTATTTTGCCTCACAGTCAAAGTCCATGGCCAGCTGGCTCCAAGGCAGAAACAGCATGGCAGAGGGGCACAGTGGAGGAAAAACACTCACATCATGGGGCCCAGGAAGCAAAAGAGAAGGGAGGAGCTGGGAAGAAATACACACTCCTCCAGGTTACACCCCCAGTGATCCGTATCTTCTGACCAGACCCCACCTCCCAACGTCACATTCAGCTATAGCACCCTCATGATGCAATCACTTGCCACTCAGCTATAGCACCTGTGAACATATGAAGCTTTGGGGGACATTCTTTGTCCAAGTCACAACCCATGGAGACTTCCAAAGGTGGGAAGCAAGTCCCTTTTGTCTGGGCTCCTGGGTTCCTGATTGTATCAAGTGCTCAAAAGGACCCAGCAAAGGCTCTTCTCTGCTCTTTGAAGTGTTCTGTAGGATTTCTTATGAAGCTCAGTTTCAGTAATCTGCTAGTAGAGTGAAATACATTCCACTGGAAAAAATACAAGGAGCAGGAAAAAAGCCAGGGTCAGGTATGAAAAGCTTTCAACCCAGGCTTCAAAGTCCAAAAGGTGGGACCAATTGATCAGATATAGCCAGCAGAATGGAGAAGGATATGGCCCAGGAGATAGACAGCCCTTTATTATTACATTTCAAAAAGAAATCATCAAAGCCACCAATTTCTGGATGAAAATATGCAGGCAGCCTTTCTACACTAAAGGCAATGCATACTAACAATGAAAGGAAAAATAGCATGTTTCTTAGCAAAGAGCACCCAGGCTCCTTCATCTCAGCTTCCTCATTCACAGTGGGCGACCAGCAATCACACAGACCATGAACTGGCAACAAGTGTCTGAGCATATAAATTCAATTAATAATTAAAAAGAAAGACAACCTAAGGAAAAAAGGGCTGAGAATATGCACAGCCAATTCACCAAAGACATGTGCACAAATACCACCTGTGTACACCCTCGCCAGTGATATGGCATGTGTAGATGAAAATCTGTCCTTTCCTCCTATTAAATAGGCAGACGTAGAATCAACTAACAATTTCCAGTATTGGTGAGGGTGTGAGAAAAGCATTACATTTTAATGTTATGGTTAGGAGGGTAAATTGGTAAGTTTTCCCGGGGAAAATGTATCCATTACCGATGCCTGTCAGCCCTCCAAGTGTACTGGGCTCCAGCACCGGAGGATGGAGAGGGTGTCCTTGCTCACGGACAGTGACCTCCGGCCACACACATTCTCTCATCTCTTTCATCAAAAGAAATTTGGGCAAGCTTGTCATCCAGGACTAGTGACAACAGAATGGATAAGGTGTCCTATCCTGCAGAGATGCAGGGCCCAGCCCTCAGTATTCCTGAGATGAAGAGGTCAGTGTTAGATAGGTGCTTAGGCATTAGTGGGCATGAGGGGCATCCAAACCAGCATCTGGGGAAGTTGTAGTTAAATGAAGAAACAAAGACCTCAGTGTTTAGTACACTTATAATCATTTGTTAGGTCTTAGACCCAGAGCATCCCACAGAGCACGATGACATTCTAAGGTTATACACTGTGCACATTTCTTTCTGACACCTGGATACCTAGCTGGCTATTCCTGGAACAGTATTCCTGGTCACCACGGCCTATGGCCAATGATTTGAAAAAGGAGAAAATTCCTGCAAGACCCTCCCACCTTGGGTTGAGATCTGATTTAGATTAGAACTTTTTCATAAATTTCTTTCCTAAGTTTCTTACATGGTTAAGTCTGCCAAGGGAACCCTGACCATCTGAAAAGAACCAGGAAAACATTTTGCAATTCCAAAGTAACCTCCAAGAAAAATGTCTTGCATCATAATCACCATAGTTCACTGAATGCCAAGAGTACTTGTGTGCTTAAAAAGGTATCCAGACTCACACTTGAGTAGTTGCTTGTGTGACACTGCCCACCTTCTGGTTTGAAGGTGTAAATCCCTCTATATCTACTTTACAATAATTCTATCCATACTTCTGCATGGCTCCCTATGGGTGTTGACTAAATTCTTTCATCAACAGCACAAAGAACCAAGGAGCTCGAGGGCTGATTCCCTGTAGCATCAGGACCTGGCTTCCCAGTGACAGTGTGGTGGGATGAGAAGTGGCCCACTGCTGAGTCCCTCCAACTGGCACCCCTCCACCGCCACTGAGAAACATCAGCACCTGTCTCTCCAGCAGGCATGGTGCCAAGATCTTGCTGTACATTGTTGCCATCATGGAAGATCATGGGTGATTTTTGAGTATGAAGAACAAACCCCGAGAGGTAGGTTTTCTCAATTATAATCAGTAATCAGCTCCATCAGCATCAGCCACTAACACAGACCGCTTCAAAAGTTTAGAAAGACTTGTTGAGTACAGGTGACAAGAATGAGACAGGCAGAGGGGTGCATTCTTCTCACAGTGCTACTTCCTCCCATACCCTATGGACACCAAGGCAGAGTAGCATTCGTTTACCACCCTCATGCACCAACACAGTATGTATAGAAGGTTCTTCATAAGGTTGTTGATTTTAGAAATTTTTAACCAAACTCTTTTATTTCCAGGTGCTCAAAGAACAGCTTCTAAATCAGATTTTAAAATAGTTGTTGCTCTTCTGATAATTTAAAGTCCTAGATGTCCATCCTGGGTGCACTAAAAAGCCTGGGCAGGCTGGGACTCAGCATGGGACAGGATCCACAGAAGCGAGCCTGGTGGACTCTTGAAGGAGGTATGTGGTGAATTGTTAGCTACTCACCTCAGGGGAGCAGACAGGAGAGGGTTTGCAATGCTGGCAACACTTGCACGGCATGTTCCAGGGTCACTGCCAGGACACCCATTCCCTCAGTGACATGTTCAGGTAACTACACACGCATGCAGTCTGGGCCCTGTGACTTCCATGAAGAACCTTGTTAAACCTGTGGCTGTAAGCCAACAAGGCATAAAACAATGGAGTTGTTCTTGTCATCAAAAGATAATTTCTATAATCTGTCCTGATAAATTTTGAAAATTAACTTCTGACGAAAGATCAGAAAGTAATTAAGTACTTACTTTGATTTGAATAAAATTTAGTTTGCTGAGTTTCCTTTATCATCTTTTCAGTTCCCATCAACTTACCTCTGAAAGTGTTTCACTTGAGTGTTATGAAAGCAGAACAAAGAAATCATTTAGATAGAAATGTTCCCTTCTAAGGAAGGTTGCTGTTCAATTAGGTCAGCAAGAAGCAATTTCATTTGTCACATTAAAAATATTAAATATAACCGTGGGGACATAGCTTGGTGGTAGAGTGCTTGTTTAGCATGTGCAAGACCCCGGGCTCATCCCCAGTACCACACACACACACACACACACACACACACACACACACACACACACACACACAAGAAGGTCAAATACTGATATACAGGGCTGGGGATTTAGCTCAGTGGTTTCGCCGCCTGCTGCACAAGCGCAAAGACCTGAGTTCAATTCCCGGTACCCGCCCCCCAAAACCAAAAAACTGATATACAGAGTGTTTCTTTAGTGTACTGTATAAAAGAATTTTTTGCAAGGGTTTGAAAATAAACAAAAAATAAAACTTTACCACATAGCTTAAGAGTCACTGCCCTAGGGGTATAAGGGGATGGAAAAAGGATGTGTGTGTCAGAAAGAGAGAGACAGAGAGACAGAGAGAGTCAGAGACACAGAGAAAGACAGAGACAGAGAAAGTAACTGGGTAGCTAAAATTAAGAGGCGATAAAATGGGTCCCTTCAGCAATAAAACCACTACTGTGTTGGGTAATTACATGTTGCATAGTCTCCATGGTAAACAAAAACATTTGTTTCCATTTCAGTTGAAATGAAAACTAACTTTTTCCTTTTCCTAAGCTAGTTTTGCTGTCTGGCCAGTGAGCTCAGTGCCACTAATGAAGGCATATAATCCCAGGATCTGGCCCTGGAGATACACTTGGTTTCCCTACACAGGGGCCCATGATCTGAGGACACAGATGGCAAAGTCCATGGCCTCCTTCCTCCTTTTCCATCTCACATCATCTTCGTGTGACCATTCCGTGGGTAAAAACCTGGCCCACAGAGAAACAGCAGCACCAGGCATGCCCAGGCCACGGCCATTGGGAGACTTGCTGAGAGCCAGGCCAGACGCCAGCTGTGAAAATCCACCAACTTTTGTTTTAAATTCTGCCGGAAGGTGACCATTCCCAAGAAACACAGAGGTCAAGCGAGTCTCCATACACAGGACTGGAAGAGGCTCTTCACAAGATTTAGCATCGTTTGACAAATGCTAGTGGAGGGGGTCTAGGGGTTGGAAGAGCAGGTAACTTGGGCCTTCAAATAGACTTCAAGGTTGCAGAATTGAGAGCTGTTGGAGTCTCAAATAATTTTAGTTCCTCAGAGTGAGCTGATGCAGAGCATGGAGAAACATGTCCCAAGGAAATTTTGTCTATATTAGAGCCAGGAAAGAGAAATAGGAAATTGTTCATTTGCACATTTTAAAAACTACATTTTTGTCTTTTTCTGTTTGTAAGCCTCCAACATAACTTCCTAAATGTCTCTTAGCATCACATCTTTCTTGGCTTTCCCGACTCAAGAGCTTTTGGTTCTGATTCACTGAGTATTCACAGTCCCAGACTTGAGCAGAGGTCCCTTCGCACGAAGGGCTCCATAACTGTGCATGGATCTTCTCCTGTCGGGGCGCATCACAGAAGGTGCCCCCTCCACAAAGGGCTTTTCCACTGCAGAAAAAGCCCACCGGAGTGTCCCCTGAAAAATGTATTGTGCTAAAGTGGGATCTGATGCCCATGGCTTGTGCTTCCATCAGTGAGCTGAAAGAAGCAGTCTCCAGTCCTGCTGGTGGTCTATGTCTACACCAGCACTCGTGCTACCTAAATTCTCGCTCAGGTGCAAGACAACACTGAGCCCAGCAAACCCACAGCTCCCTGATCAGAAAGAAGATGTTGCAGTAACTGGTAAAGCACTCCCTAAAACATGATCCATAAAATCCTCTGATTCCACCAGTGAAAAATTCTAAAAGATGCCATTACATATATTCTCCAATGCAAATCACAGGTGCAACGTTTTTATTGTATTTATAGAAAAAGGTAGTTCTTCTTCACTAGCCAGGCAAGCTTTTCCCAGAGCATACACTACAGAAACCACTCCCCAAACCAACATGCACGTGCCCCACACAATCACCTGCCCACACTCACTTGCTTATACACGTGCATACTTATGCATGCACTTGTGTACACACTCATTCACTCATTTGTGCACATGCTCACACTTGTATAGGCACACTGATGCACATGCACACTCATGTTCATACTCACATACTCATACTCAATCCTGAGCACACTGACAGATACAAACCCACATTAACATATCTGTATGCATATGCACATTCATATGCACACACGTATTTCCTACACATGGACACTCACATGAGCACACGCTCACATACACTTGCATATTCACACATTATATGTGCAGCCGTATTCTAGTGCTCACACTCATTTGCACTGCACTCATTTGTGTGCACACGTCATTTCTTAAACGCAGTAATGATTTACCGGAAAGAGCAGCTGGACTCCTTTTGCTTTGAGGCCAGGTGAAAGTGCTCTCTGCAGAGGCTTGCATATTGAGGTTTGTGTTTTCTGAGAGCCCCCAAAAGCAAAACACCCACTACCATTCCTCTGTTCACTTTTCAGCTGGGGGATGGGGGAGAAGCCAGGACCAAATCAGAGTGCCCCAGCTGGGTAGCATGGAGGCACCCCTCACAGCAGTGTGAATGCCGTGTGACAGCAGTTGAACTGCACGCTTCAGAAGACACAACAGTATTTCAGAGATAACTCGTTCGCACAGTGAAAACGTCTCATCTAGAACTGCAGATGAAAGTACTAAGAAGTCAATTTTCCCATGCCAGAAGGTTTGGGAGAGGCTGCAGAGTGGTTACTCCTCCACCTCCTGCAGCTCCTTCAGCATGGCCTGGAGGAGCCTGCGAAGCTTCCAGAACACATGTGGGGCAGCTCTCCAGGAACTCTGGGTGAGGCCTTCCAAGCTGGCACACTCCCACACGGCCTGCTGTAACTGTAGCCGCAGTGGGAAGGACACAGCAGAGGTCCTGGGAAGCGAGGAGAACCAATGGCGGAACATTTTGTCACAGATGACCTGAGGGAAAGAAAGGTGAGCAGTTAACTGAGGTGGCAAGTCATCCTTAGGAACTTCCCAAGTCCACATCTGCTTCTCAAGATGACCTTTGCTTTGCTCCTTCAGGGAAGGCGCTATGCAGATCATCTGACTCTCAGAAGGGTTTTCCCTTCCACAAGGTAAACCATTCAGCACCAGGAAGAGACCATGCCTCAAAGAGCACAGCGCCACCTCCCTATAAGGCAGACAATTCCATTTCTAGCTCCAGAGCAGAGGGCAAAAGATTGAGCTGATGCTTCAACAAGACTGAACACATCTGCACAGAGAAAGGAGACCAGGAGCTGCTGCATGAGGAGCTAGCCCCTCTGCAGGTCCAGGGCAGCCAACCCTACTCGGGCACCTCCCCACAAAGGCTCTCCTATGTAAGTGGGTCGGAGCAGCAATAATAACCACAGACAGGGTTGTCTCGAGGATCAAGTAACACTTTGAGAAAACTAGGAATGCAACTGTAAGCTGTTACCTGATAGCCCTTTGCAGCTCATGGTAAAAAGGTACACTGGAGGGGAAGGCTGCAGGCATAGGGCTCTCCTAAGGAGCTGTGAAATACTTCAGGAACAGACATAAAAAGCTAAGGTACTGTCTCACAGCCTTTAATTCAAATAGGTTATGCAATTCACTGATGTTCGCTATCTCTTCAAAGTCCAGATTCCAAAGTGTCATTTATCGCTTTCATGGGAGAACTGACTAGAGAATAGTGCTTTATTTTTCTATGTCACACTCATTCAACAAATGCCTCCATTTTATAGCATTATTGTTTCATAGAGGACAAATAATTTTAACTTAAATTTTCTGATCCCTGCAAAGCCAAGGATTTATTTTAAAAACAACTTTCTTTCTTTCTTTTTCACAGTACTGGGGATTGAACCCAGGGCCTTCATACATCCCTACCCCTTATTTTTTATTTTGATACAGATCTTGTTTAATTGCTAAGTAGCCCCAGCTGAGCTTGAAATTTCAATCTGATTGCTTCAGCCTCCCCTAGAGCTGGGATTGTAGGCATGACCACCACACCTGCTTATTTCTTTTTTGAATAGAGAATATATTTTCATGTGCAAAATTGAAAATATCCTGAAGGATATATTGTAATCTGTCTCTGACCACCCTGATACTGAGCTTTCCCTGATACTGACAGGCAGCAGCTTGGTCCAATATCCTCCAAAAGCCAGAGCTTTCCAACCTTTTGGCTTGCCACAGCTGCAGTGAGTGAAGAGGAACTATCTTGGGCTGCATATAAAATATATAATATAGCTAATGTACAAAAGTGACAGATCTTGGGGCCGGGGATTTAGCTCAGTGGTGCCAATGCCTGCCTCGAAAGTGCAAGGTCCTGAGTTCGATTGCCCGTGCCCCCCCCCCCAAAGTGACAAATCTTCATTTATTTTTTATATTTTTTATTAAACTTTTTCAAAAAGCTAGAGCCTAAGTTTGACACCTAGCCAGGCACGGTGGTGCACACCTCCCAGCACTCTGGGAGGCTGAGCCAAGAGGGTCGCCAAGTTTGAGCTCAGTCTGGGCAACTTAGAGACTTAGTGAGACCCTGTCTCAAAGTTTTAAAAAAGGCCTTGGGTTCAGTCTCCAGTACTGATAAAAAGAAAAAGGTGGACACCCGTGGTGGACTCTAAGCCTATATATGTATAGCCTTTTTCCTGTTATACAAATTGTAGCATGCTACACAGTGTTCTAAAGCTCTGATTCTCATTTAACCATGTATCAGGGAGATCCCTTCAGATCAATTCTTATAAATGTATTCCATTTGTTTTAATGGCTGCATCTCAAAAGTATGGATGTATCGTAAATTATTTAAGCAGTTTCCACTTGATGGAAATTGAGGCTCTTTACCAACTTTTGCTTCTATGAGCAATGTCGGCAATAAATGTCTTGCATATACACGTGATTTTCTTTTTGCACACATGAGCAAACTTCTAGGAGTGGAATTTCTGGCTCAAGGGGTGTGTGCATTTTTTAATTTTGCTAGATGTCAAATTGACCCCATAAAGTCACACCAATTTCCACTCCCTCAGCAAGGGGTCCAAGAATGCTTGTCCCCCTCCCCCCATGGCCTCAACAACAGACTCTCATTCTGCCAACAGATGGGAGAAAATGGTTTAATGTTCAGTTTTCCTATTCTCAGTCAGGCAGAAAACTATTTATGCTTCCTTTCCAGTGAATGGTCAATCTTATATCCTTTGCCCAAATTTCTATCAGGTTGTTGGTCTTTTTTGTATTAATTTCTAGCTATTTTGTATAGCTTAAGGATATTAGCCCCTTGCTCTGGGTTGGTTCCCTGGGAAGTGCATGCTAAGGTGTTTGGATCCAGGGATTCACTGAGGGGCACGCTCTGCCATCCATATCAAGGGAACCGAGGAAGAACCTATAGAGGGTCTCCTTTATTGAGGCAAGGATCTCTCCTCCCCTGCTCCCTCTTCCTCTTCGACCGGTTCCTAGGTGCTGCCCCTAGGAAGTTAGATCCAGAAGCTGGGAATAATCTTCTATCCATCCTCTGGTCTCCTGGTCTGTAAGGGGAACTGGAAACATTTAAAATTGGCTCATTTTTTTTTAGTTTTGCTTTGTTTTTTAAAAGATAGATAGTGTGGATTTTTTAAAAGATAGACAAGTTTTTTAACTGCTCTTCCTTTGCCTTCTGAGCTCAGTTCAATATTTACAGAGCCCTGTCCTATAGTAGGATAATATTAATACTTCTTTCACCTCTTTTCAGGTACTTTTAGGGTTTCACCTTTTATGTATATTTGAATCATCTGAAATTTAGTTTGACTTAAAGAGGGAAACTGGAAGTTAATCTGACCATTTGTTGGGTGGTCCACCCAGTTTACTAACACCAGGCATTAATTCTAAGACCAGCCCCCCACACACACAATGGACTGAAATGGCCATTTTATCACAGACTAAATGCCCACATCTCATTAGGTCCAGTTCTGAAATTTTAACGATTCTATCCCATTGATTCATCAATCAATTTTTGCAGGGCAGGGATTTTTTGAATCAACTTTAAATTAGAAAAGTATAAAGTTTACAGAATGTAGAAAAGATGAAGAAAATAAAAACTATAATCCTACCACTCAGAAATAATTGCTTTTGACACCTTAATATCTATCTCTCCAATTACATACTATTCTATTCAACAAAGATGGAGTCATATTGCAAATACTGAATTGTAACCTTAATTTTTTAAAACTCTGTATTACCTCATATTCTTAAAGTTTGTGCAATTTTGCTTCTAGGACTTATTCAGAAGCAATAATCAGAAATATGGATAGTGAAATCGTTCTGCATGAGTATTCCTAACATCCATTTATTCTCCATAGGGCTATAATTTGTAATCATGTTAATTATATAGACACTTATCTATGTCCCTGAAGCTTCCATCATTAATTAATGGCATTTTAATGACTATTACCAATTGGCAAAAGAAATTTATTATTATCATTGGACTTTAATTTGTATGTCTCTGAATAATAAGATTAAATAATTGTCCATGCTCTTTGCCATTTGCATTTCATCATTTACGTATCTGGTACATGTTCTTTCTTGCCAGTTTTCTTTGGGTTCCCCTTGCCTCTCAATGAATCTGTAGTAGCCCTTCCTATATAAGGCTCTATACCTCTATCTCTCATTATGCTGCACAGAGTAGATGCACTCCCATTTGGTAGATGAGATCACAGGGTGCAGGAAACTCCAGTGAAAATCATCTTGTCCCCACAAGGGAAGAAGAGGGATTTTATGACAAACCGACAAAGGGTGAGGGACTTTGCTAAAGAGGCTGGATGGCTTGTCTCCAAGGCCACATCACTGCTTGACCTCCATAAGGAGATATACTTGTGATTCTGGAATTCAGCCCGGAAGTTTGTATAGATGCTGGGGTGACAGAAACATGGCTTCCGTCTGGCTTGGCCAATGACCACTATATTAAGAACACGACGATCCAGGTCTCCTCAAGCCAGCCCTCCATCATGGGATGACAGCCTCCTGCTGTGCTTCCCCTGCCAGCCCTGATTTAGTCTGTACTTTAGGTCTGCTCTGGAGCCCATCTTCTAGGTGCCAGGCCCGTGGGGAAGATGAGCTGCAGAGGAGGTGTGCCTAGAGGAGTGGGTGAGCCCAGAGAATTAAAGGGGAGGAAAGTGGGAGACAAGAGCCCGTACAGCAACTGCACACAGCCAGGCAGCAGGGAAAGGAGCCCCAAGACCATCTCCCCTTACAGAGACCTTCCGTGGACTGCATTCTGGTTTTAATCAGACCCAAGTTCACCCCCATCCACTGAGAGCCTGAAGTGATGGCAGAAAGGAATTTCTGCCAAAAGAAGAAACATAATTTCCTACTCATAAGGTATCCAACCCTGGATTTGGGGGCTTGGTACCTCCAGGCCCAATCTGCCTTCCGGAAGCCAATGTCAATTCCCACTTATGGCTGAACTCCTGAATGTGGCTTCTTCCTCCGAGAACCACCAGCGTCCCCACCGCTGCCTGTCTGCATTACGGTGTCTGTCCAGCCTCTCTACTGAACCCGTGTTTTGGGACTGCTCTGCACTCTTGTTAGTCTTACCCTTGATGAGTTAGTCTATGAGTTCTCATTCTTGGTGTATGTGGGAGAGAGAGACTACCACGTGGATATGGACACTGGACTCAGAGAAAACAACTCTCCAAGCCCTCCAGCTTAGGTGAAGCTACAAGGATGAGGAGACCCAGCAGGTGGACTCTGCTGAGACCTCCACCCATTACCCCCCATCGGTCCACGTGACTGACCACCAAGGGAAGGCAACAAGATCAACAAAAAACTTCCTCATCTTGCCCTTATGGAACATATTGAGCCTAGATGGTAGGAAAGGTGGATCTTCAGCTCCACTGAAGAGATTTCCAGTGCCTCTATATGGAAGAGGCAACCAGAGAGTAAATGTCTTCCCCAGCCCCAAACCCCCGCCTGCTTACCTGCAGGTTGCTGTTGACACGCTGAGCTCCACACTTGTTTATTCTCAAGTCACACCTCGAAAAACAGTCAAAGAAATTGCAATCTTCATCCACCGTGCAATTTTGCTCAAGGATCTCCCTCATTTTAGGTTCAAAGAAGGCCATGTCCACATCAATAGCCACCACCTGTAATCAATACAACATACAGTGAGCAAAACAACACCCACAGGCTCCGTAGAGAGAGCCTATTTAACAACAGCTTCTTGTCTGGCCACTGTGATTGTGCTCATTCAGACTGCGTGATACGAAACTCTGCTGGCCAAAGCAAAAAGCCCAGACCACATCATGCAGAGTGGCTTGCTTCAGAGAGTTTATCTGTGTTTTCTTTGACAGAAGCAATTGACATTGATTTTTGCAAAGTTTTACCTGCAAGAAGAACTCTTTGCTATCAGTAGTTAAATCCTAGGATTTGGAGCCATAACCACAAGTATCACTTTTCATCTTTAAACATTTTCTCAGCCTTAAAAGTAAAATCTCTGAAATGGCTTAAAACTGAATTTTCCTTTTGCCACTTTATCACTTTGATCTCAGACCTCTGTCAACCTAAATAACAAAAATAATCAGAAAGAGGTTCTCTAGAGAATACTCATACTTATTTGAGACTAGCATTGCAATGGGAATACATATGCCCTAGTAAACTCTGGGCATATTCAACAAGGTTGGGGCAAGGGGAAGTTTTTAAAGACAAATATGAGGAGGAATACATCAGATATTTTGAAGCAATAATCTCGGTCACCATGATCCACAAAAAGGACGGTGTCAGTCTGAGGCAGAATAGTTGCCGGGCATACGTCCCTGTAGAAGTGCTTTTGTCTAAGGTTGCTGGGGCCTCAGCGCAAGGCTGAGTTTTAACAGTCTCTTGTGATAGTTACAATCAGGGAATCAGGCATAACAACCCTTCCTTCATAGCCGCACTTCGCTCTTTTTTGTTTGTTATTGTTAGGGTTGACACAAGTGACTCCATTTTGATTAGGACATTTTTTGCATTCTGCACATCTTCAAGGTCAGGACCATAAAAGTAAGTTGTGAGATACAAATAATTTACCCTCCGTGGCTATAAGCCATGAATGGCAGGTTTGTGGGGGAGATGGCAGAAATAGGTGGGCAGTATCTAACTTTTGTCACCTATCTGTTACCAGAGTCAACTTGTTTCCAACTGACCAGTCAGATGATGATGCATCAGAGAAAGGGGAGTGTTCAAATTAGGCTAGCTCTGGATGGACTTTGTCTTAGTTACTTTTCTCTAGTTTCTGAGACAAAATACCTGACACACAAAGTTAAAGGAGGATAGATTTTCTTAGCTCATAGTTTTTAGGGGTTTCAGTCCATAATTAGCTGGCTCCAAGGCAGGGTGCAAGGCAGACAGGCATCGCAGAGGAGAAACAGTTCATGGCAGGCAGGTGGTAGTAAAGCAAAAGGGACAAGACAAGCCTCTCTCTGTCCCTTATATTGTATCCAGTCTACTGGGATGAGGATGGTGCCAAGCCAATCAGGGGACTGATTTAGTAATCACCCCCCCTTAACCCTAGCACCCTTCATCCTACCATTGCACCATGAATAAATCACACAATCTAGATTCAGTCAACTCTGAAAAAGCCCTACCTACGATTGCATGAGGCTTTGGGGGGGGACATCTAGACACAAACCATAACAGACCCCGACCCAACGGTATCAGCCACTAAGTTCCACTGTCAGCAGGAGAATTTGACGACCCCCTGGAAGTTCAGATTTATCTTTCTGGCTTCAAACCAAACAGGTTTCAAAAACAGAAAAAGAGTAACTCCTAAATTATGCAGATTTTCCTCCAGCACCTGGATACAAAAAAAAAAGAAAGATGAGCTCAAATCTGAGAAAACTTGGAGTCTGCCCAAGTTGAACAGCTTATAGCTTCGAGGTATTAAGAAGCTATTAGGAAATTTGATGGATCCGATGGAGTTGGTGGCATTTCACAAGCCTTCACAGGTCAGTGTCAAAACATCAGCCTTCTCTTTCCCCTTCAGTAGTGTCTCAGAAAACAGCTCATTCGCTGGTGTTCATTTCCTCCTTAATTCTACACCGTGGTGGGACACACATTCTCTGGTTTTTGTTTTTGTTTTTCACTTAAGATTTTTGCTGGAATCCCCGGTACCACAAAAAAAAAAAAAAAAGATTGTTGCTGGAAGGCAATAAAGTGTCTTGAGGGTTATTAGTAAAGCAAAACAGGAAGGAACATAATTTACTTCAATATACGTACAGAATAATGAAAATAAGGAACAAAGAACTTTTCCCTATTTAATGGGCTTTGGCTAATAAGTAACTCAGGCATGGAGAGCAGAATTTATTATTTTAATCAATATTTTCTATCTCCTTATTTAGCCAAAACAAATGGTTAATTTCATTATTTAGCCTGATCAATGCACTAAAAAATGAGGGCTATGCTAAAGAATCTTCGTGATTTATTATCGGGGCTACTATAAGACCTTCCTCCTTTTTCTATAGTTTCTGGCAGTCTCCCCAGTCTCCTAGATAGGGTTTCAGCTCCTTGCTCCTCTCTCACCCATTTCTGATGGGTTTCTTCATATCTCCCAGGGAGAGCCAGATTTATATTTTAATTTATATCATGCAGCCTAGAATGAACTACAGCTCTTATAAGCACAACCCTATACAACTAAAATATAGCAACAAAACAAACAGAAAAAACTTGCAAAATGTTTCTTAACATCAGGAGAACCGTAAAATTCTTCCTGTATGAAATTACCTATGTTGCATCATCTTCAAACTTCCCCAGGCATCATGACAGAAAGATCAATGAGAATTCTCTTATTCTCCACCAAATGGAACTGTTTCATATTCCACGCACCACTAGCATTCTGTTGAGTAGGAAAATTTCATCTGCTCAAAAGGAACACTTGATGGCCATCATTTGGAGTCACAAAGTCCTGGCATTTCCTAGCTGTTCATTTGTAGCAACTGGATTCATTCTTAAAGACCTGCAGGGTGCTCAGCCTACAAACGAGTGAGACAATTGGACCTCTCCATTCTTACACCCCATCTGGAAGTGCACGCACACGCACGCGCGCGCACACACACATACACACACACGGCAACAGAGCAGCCAGGCTCAAAGGCAGGACCCACCTGTTGGGACCCTGAGTGCACCTGATTCCTACACTTGAGCATGCACCAGAACCACCTAAGAGGTGATGTTTATTTCAGAGACCTACCCCCAGAGTTTCAGATTTACAAGGTCTGAGGTAGAGTTTGAAAATTTACATTTCTAACAAGTTCTCTGATGAGGTGCATACTTTTGATTTTCACTTAAAAACTGTAAAATCTTAGGTAAAATAATTGACTCATATCTCAGTGTCTTCAACAGGGTCACGATGAGGCAGGTTGGTGAAGGGGGATCCTCCTGCTCCTGCCCCCTGTCCCCACCCATGCCAACAATAAAGCAGAGGTAACAGCCCAGAAAGGCCCAGCACCAGCCCACAAAGTTAGTTTGGGGGTGACGGCAAGGAGCACATAGCATCTCACTGAACAAATATTTCATTGTCTACTGTGCCCAAGATGTTGGAGGCAAAACTGAGGTGGCTGCACAAAGCAGTAACTGGATTTTTAGCAGATGTGCACATAGGAACATTTGATGTTGCCCACTCCACATGGAAGACCTGTCAGCCCCAGCAACTTCATAATGCAGGAATCCTCTCAAATCCTTAATTCTCATGGCATCTACCAAGCAACACTCACTAACATGGAGTAGTATTTGCTGAATGAACAAAAAAGTGTTTACAACATGAGAACTGGCCATACTGCCCAAGGCCAGGGAGCTGTGTGCGGACACTCCACAACTCAGGGGGCTATGTTCCCAGGACTCAGAGTGGCTATGTTCCAACCCCAGTGGCTATACCCCAGGACTTCTCTGAGGTGAAGAACAACAGCCCTTCTTTCTACTGCATGATCTTCTTGATTGCTAAGCAAAGAAGCCTTGGCCAGAATGGTGATCTCACTTTGGCTCTAAGAAATGATATGGCCAGCTGGTGGAACATGCACTCCCTACAACTTCACCCTTAACCGGAGAGGCAGCATGGAGCTCAGAGCATCGTAGGCGGAGCTGAGCTCTTTTAGAGCTCCCTGTCCAGTGTACAAACACTCATGTAACCCTGCAGAACCTTGTGTAACCTGCCAGAATCTTCCAGCTTGGTCCCTTCCATACTAACATCACCCTTGGCTTCTCAACCCCCTTAGGGCAGACAGACAGTAAATTAGGACAAATCAGTGAGGACAAGATGCTACAACACCCTTTGTAGGTACAAAGGCTTGATTATACGGGGGATTTACAGTGATGGCAAGTTTGGTTTCTAGATTTCAAGCTTTAAACCAGCAGCAATGGTATCTTCTTGTGGTCCATTTATGTTCTAATCAAGATGAAGATCATTACCCCATCAAAAGCCAGTGCCCACAGTGACCAGCTTGCTCAGGTCATTCACCTACCAGGACTTGTAGCATGAGAACAAATTTATTGCAGGACAGGAAACAGGAGCACAGCCCTTCTGCAACGACCATCCCATGGCCACCACATCACAGACAACTTGTCACCACTTCCGGCTAGTGACCTAGCACCTGACCAAGCAGGCATCGGGACCACTGTTAGGGTTAGGGTAGGCAACACTAATCTGACATGTTTCACCTAGGGCAGAGGTTGCCTTACAATAACACACTGAAGTCCTTCTTGCTGCCTTTCTCCGCCTTGGTGTGCCCCAAAGTGAGAGACAAAAACCCACCTGCCCTCTACAGGCGATGCAAAAACAGACATGTCCCCCAGGCAGGTCTGAGCTGGTGGAAGTCACTGGATGTCCCTCTAGACGTCTTACAAACAGACTAGAAATGAACCACAACCTCTCTGGAAGAAAATTATTGAGAATGTTGCGTATTTTCACAGCACGCAGTGGTTTGAACACAAACAGCCCTGTAGCCCTCCTCCACATCACCCTCTGCAGTTGCTGGTCACCTGCCTTCTGCAGGCTACACAGACTCTCAGGATAGCCAGCTTGTACATTAGTTCTAAGAAGCCACTGACTGCCCGAAGGCACTGGAGCTGCCCTCAGGGATAAGGATGAGAAGGCTTGCCTTTGCCTCCTGCTCTGGAATCCTTCGCTCAACTCCAGCGCTTGGGTAAGATGTTTTTAAATCCTTTTCTCAACACTGGCAAGGAAGTGGTTTGAAAGACGGGAGTCATCTGAAGCTACAAGGGTGCTCAAACTTACAGCAGGATTAGGGCAGGGGATTCAGCTCAGTGGTTCTACCGCCTGCCTCGAAAGCACAAGGTCCTGAGTTTGACCCCCAGTACCAAAAAAAAAAAAACTTACAGCAGTATCTCATTTCCCCCACATGGACCACAAGCACTGCACTGCTCCCTATGCTATAAACACATCTGCTCTCATCACTTACCGTGAAGTCACTCCTGATAGCAAAGTTTTCAGGCTTGATGTCACAGAGATGGAGGCGGTGGGAGAAGTCATTTTCAAAATGGCTCACCATGTCCAGGAAGCTGAGAGCAATGTGGCTGATGGCCCTGGCCTGGGCCCGGCCACCCCGGGGTGCAGCCTCATCCAGGGGAAAGAGAGCACTGTGTCGAGGGCTGCCGGCAGCCAGGTACTCCACTGCATAGAAATGGCCACAGGAGCCCAGCACAGGCAGGACGTGGTGGCTGAGGTCCTGCAGCAGGCTGAAGTACACATACTCCTCCTGCTGCAGCAAGGACCATGCGCTGGCCAGCTGCCGCCTCCAGCCAGGGCCCCGATGGCCAGGCCACAAGGGTCCCATACTGCTGTTTGGCAGCTCTAGGCCTAAGGTGTTCTTGACCTCCCCGGCCACCACGAGGAGGAGCTCCGCCTCAGGAACACCCTGGGCTCCCTGTCCTGCCTCCACCTCCAACAGGTCAAGGGCTGGGAAGCTGGAGAAGGCCTCCCTCTTGGACTTGAGGACAACAGGCCGGCCACGCCACTGGGCCTGCAGCACCTTCTTGCCACGCTCGTAGTACAGACAGCGCTGGTACAGCAGCTCCCCGGCTCCACACACGTCCTCACACAGGTCGCCCACGAGCCAGCCGCCCTGGTAGTCCCGACACTGGAACGAAGGGAACAGCTGGTCACAGTGGGGCAGCCATTAGGCCAACAACGGGCTGGGGCAGGGAAAGGCACAGCTTGTTCCCTGCGCTCAGAGAACTTGGAATCCAGCTTTGGACAGAAGCTTCCCGGATGTGAACAAAGGCCATCGGGTCGATGAGTACAGACAGTTTTCTGTCTCTGCAGGTTCCACAGCCAACTGTCCACTGAGAATATTCTTTGGAAATTAAATCTACACTGGAAATATATGGGAGGATGTGTGTAGATTATGTGCAAACACTGTGTCATTTTTATATAAAGGACTGGATCATCCCTAAATTAGATTTTGGTATTCACCAGCGTCCTGGAACCAATCCCTATTGGACCCAGAGACAAGTCAAATTCAGTGAGAGTTGAGAATGTCATCACAAGTATGTCACTCAATGGTGCGGAGAACCAGGTCTTCAGAATCAGGACACTGGAGAATCCTAGTAGATTCCATGGACCAGTGGGGTGGGCCTAGGAAAACTTGAGTCAGAAGAATGCACTGGGTAAGGCCAGTGACTCAACTTTGGCTACACATGTGAGGCTCACCCAGAGACTTTTAACATCCCCATCCAAGAACTTCGAAATCAGATGGGCCTCAAATCCTGACCTGCCCTCTAGGTCTACACTAGGCCAACTGTCCCTTCCAGCAGGCATGCATCTTGCGCTTGCTGTTTTCAACATGAAATGGTATGGCCTATGTGGCTAGTACCTCTAGGATGAAGGATGTTCAGAGGACCCAGGAGAGGCAGGAGTTAGAACAGATCTCATGGCTGGTAGACTGGAAGGAAGGTTCTAGGAGAAATGGCTTGGGTTGCATTCTGGAAGTGTGGGGAGTGTTTGTGATCCTGGTAGAGTGCCATCCAGGAGCCTCGGATGGAGTTTCTCCTAAACCTCTGGGACCTTTGCATAGAGCCACTTGGGGAGCTGTGCGGATCCTTCCCACCATATCAGAAATTCTCTGAGAAGACTTTCCAGCTGGACAATCCTTCAAGAGTCAGGAAAGAAGAAGAGGTATAGACTGGAGTAAAGGGGAGAGTTACAAGTCTGTTCCAGGCAACCTAAATCTCTAGGCTCATTTTTATTAGAAGTTAACCATATTTTCTAACCTTACCAATTTTCCCCACAAATAAATCTTGTTCCCACATCAATAAATACAAGCCTTTCTTTTTTCCTGGAATTTCTTCTACAGCACATGAAGCTAGAATCCCTTTGGTCTTTAGAAGACCAAAAGATGAGTATAAAAATCACAAAGTGCTTTTTCACCCCACTTCTTTTATTATAAAACACCTTGAAGGATCTCCTTGGGCAATGGGCAGCGTGGCACACTAGACAAAGCTCCAGACCAAGAGCCAGAAGCTTGATTTCTGGCCCAGGCTATGCTGCAATACCCTGATCATGTCACCTGACTGCCTTGGGCCTGATTCCCTCCTTATATCACTGACTGTCTCCTGCACAGTGGCTGTTCAGCCACACAAGAAGCATATGTGGAGCTAGAAAGTACATTCATACAAGTGTCAGGCTTGTGAGATGACCCTCAAACAACACCCAGACATTATATAATCTTCCAAGACTAGCATGTTTCATGCCAGTAAGCTTAATTAGTCCAAAATACATTACAAGATCCTCGTTAAACTTGAGAAAATGAACCTCCAGTGACTAGACACACAAATAATTCCAAAATCAAAAAGGTCTAAAAGCCACAAGTTTCATGACTCATTTGCCCTCAGGTGGTGTCAAAACCAGACTGAAAAGATGTGAGGCTATTTACAGTTTATATGGATTTGACTCTGTGTGAATCTGCATGCATTTTGCTGCAAAACTATTAATTTGATTACTGCCGCTGTCCTATATGCAAAAATAATGTACATGTACCATGTTATCTTTCCAATATCCAAAAAATTTGAATTTCAAAACTCACCTGGCCCCAAAGTGTTAAACAAGGGATTGTGGATCTTTATAAATATTGTAAGGTAATTGTTCAAAATACTTACACATATTCCCAGTGCTTAAGAGAAGTGCATAGATTTTCTGGACACTTAGTCACTAACCTGAAAGACCAAAGCCATGTTGTCCAAGCTGAACGCCCTCCCCTTGCTTCAGATAAAGAGATCTCTCCCAGCCATTGGGCTCTACATCTCTGTATATTTTACAGGGAGAGGCCACAGTCCCCAAACTCCAAGCTGCAGGCAATAAAGCTCTGTATGTAGAAAGTCATGAACCTGATCCTCCAGGTTCTGAATGACATAAGGGCCCGGGGCTGGATTTTGTCTTTAGAAAACCAACACTCATGAAGAAACCGTATTAGTACATACACAAAACTGCTTTAAACATACTTGAAGTCATGTGTATGTGCTGTATTCTTCTGGAAATGCACCAAAATTTTGGCAAAATGCTCTTCTTTGACTTTGACTCTGGCCCCTTTTTCCAAGGTGTGGGCTCATGGAAAGAGTGTCGTAAGAATCAAGACCCTTTGTGTAACTGCTTGGGTATAACTGTGACCATGTCACCTCTGGAGGAAAACCATGGATCAGGCTCCTTGAAGATCTTTAAGGACAGTCTTAGAAGGGAGGGGCAGATGAATAGTAGAGACTGAAACAACCAGACAGATTTTAAGCACAGAAATAGTATGGGACGCTCAATTTACTTGGGTTTCTTTACCTATTTTACGTGGTATTTACAGTTTCACATCTCTATAATAAACCTGATAACAAAATGCAACATTGGCTTTTCTTGATTTCCTTTTAAATTAAAAAAAATTCCTGTATAATCTCCAAAATTGCTTTGATTCAATTCCATAAACATTTCTCTAATGTTATCACATTCGTAATTTAATCAAAGGTGCTTTTGCACGAAGTGTAAAAGAGAACTGCAAAAGAAAGAAAGGCAAGTAACAGAATCCCCAGTAGCAGCGGGATGTGACCCGGGTGGGGAGCTCGGAATCCCACTATGCTGAGAGGAGGGAAAGGAAGGCTTTGCCCAGATGCAGCTGAGAGAAGAGACTGGGAGAGAAGGGACGAAGGGGAGGCCCTGGGCGTGGGCCGGGCCAAGCCACAGAGCTGGCTTCCATTTGCCTGTGAGTGAGGGGATAAGGAAGCCACCCACGGACTTCCAACGCCCGCTCTTCTCAGCTGAGCTGCAGCCATCATTGCTATTACCCACAAGTGGCCCCTGGAGCCACCACACCAGGATGCAACGGCCATCGGCGCCGCCTCAGGATTCGGTCGCTTGTACCACACCCAAGTTAAGAGCACTGGTTTCAGTGAACCCAGCTGTGTGTGAGCACTCCTAGGCCAGCCTCCAAATCCAGCCACTGGGCCCGGGTGACACCACAGAGATGTGCTCCTTTGAAACTCCTAAAAGATATCAGTGCATGACATGCACAATACAGAGACACAGCGGGCACAGCTATGAGCCTGGCTCGGTTTGCCTCTGGCCCCTGCCTCTCACAGGCTATGTAGCTGGTCTCTAAGTCTGTACAATAAGGACAAGGGCACTGTGTCACGGGAGACTTGGCAAGGTCGAACAAGGTCACAGAGGCACAACCTCTAGCAAGGTGGCCTCACACGAAGATAGCTCCCTCTCCTGGATATGAGATGGCAGGGGCAGAGGAAGCTTCTGCCTGGAGGAAGCCTCCCCATCCCCTGGGAGTATTCTAGTCCCTCTTCTTCCCCCAGCTCTCCTTAAATAACGACTGTGTGTGTCGAGTCCCCCAGCCCACAACTGCACTGCACCAATAAAATAAAATGGAAACCAAACTGAACCATATATAAGACATACCACAGCAAATATGGAAGGCGATTTCTATAAAGGAGGTGTGAGACATTTTGAACAATGGTCTAATTATTGAATTTTGCATCAACTTATGGGTCTTAAAGGGAACATTAATTTTGGCTGGCTTTCTGGAGTTCAGCAATTTGGCTGACAAGCACACCTCCCACATGGCTGGTTTCTTGCTGGAATGTTGAATATCAGAAAGGGCAGGAGTAGGGGCTGGGGATTTAACTCAGTGGTTACGCCACCTGCCTCAAAGGCACAAGGTCCCCAGTTCGATCCCCAGTACCAAAATTTAAAAAAAAAAAAAAAGGCCAGAAGTGGACTCCAGTGACCAAAGCCAGACCTAGGCCACCTACCACAGGTGAGGTCTTGGGTTTCTGACCTAACTTTTCAGTATCCTGGTTATCTTTTTGTTCTGAGAGATAATTTACATTGAAACAAAGCATGCAATAAAAAGTATATTCAGGTGTATTTATTATAGAGCCATTTTTGGCTAACATCTTTTATGAGGAAGCATTTTTGGCATTTCAGCTTCTGTCCTTATCATATAGAATATAAAATGTGACCACTGCCGCTGGTTAGCAGTGCTGGTGTTCTAGTAAGTTCTCAGGATCTTTTTGCATATCTGTGCCTGCTAACTACACAGAAAGCTTTAACCCAGCAATTTTGAAAAGTCAGTATACAAATTTCAAGTTTAGAAGGTAATTAAAAACTTTTATTATGTGAGAAAGTCATTGAATTGTTGTATTAACAGCATATCTGGTTGAAGTAGCCATTTTTAACTCAGTAAAAGTAGTTCATCTAAGTCTATTTTTTTTTTCTGGTACTGAGGATTGAACTCAGGACCTTACCCTTGCAAGGCAAGCGCGGTGCCACTACGCTAAATCCCCAGCCTCAGCTAAGTCTATTTTTAAAGTCAGACTGTATCAAACTTTTTTCACTTCATGAGGACTAACTGCCAGCTTGACAACAGGTACATTTCTGTACCCAAATGTGCGCATGCATAAAGCCCACAGTATCAGATTTGAAAGCAAACTGGAACAATAAAATACAAGCTAAGGTCTCATTGTTAAGTCTGGCATATTTTGAAAATAAATTCAGTGATTTTGTTTCTCATGGAGTGTGTATTCACACACAAATGCATATTTCCATCAGATCAGCCCCAGCTCTTGTCAGAAGCCTTCTTTGTGGTTGCTGCTTAGTGTCTTTCCAGTTGTTATCATGGTTCTTAGGCAAAAACAAAAACTGTCCACTCTAGGAAAGTGTGGATGGGGTCACAGAGGTCATGTTGAAGGGCTAGGCTTACTTTTGTGTTTGTTTTTGTTTAAAGGAGCATTAAGTTCCCATGCAGTTAGCAACATTCATATTTCATGAGGATTTTCCTTCCCCAGAAGCTACCACACCTTGCAGAATCTCAGCAATTAGCTAGTTCACTGTGAAACTCCTCTCTACATCATGAATGTAGCCAGAGCTATTTGCTACTATGAAATCTTTTTGGATACGGGCCCTAGCTACTGTGTTCTGTTGGGGCCTTGACAGTTCCTATCACCACAAAGAAAGATAAGACTGCACTTGGAAAAAAGAATTTCTAAAGTAACAACAAAATTAAATTCCATGAAGACCTAATAGCCACAGGCAGTTAAGCCTTCTGAATAACATAGTCTTTGGGAATATTTCTAAGGTGCTTTGGAAATAGCATGCAACAGAAGGGGTGAGTAAACACTAAGGAACAGCTTAGGGTTATGCTTGTAAGAGAAGCCACTTACTATCTTAGGGTCATTACTGTCAGACTGTAGGGGGTGGCAACCTCAGTCTTAAAAACTGTGTAAACCAGGGTGAAGTTTTTCATCTACAAAAGTGGGGGTACTGAAAGAGAATACCTCATAAAGACTGTTGAGAGGATTAAATGGAATAATACATGTAAAATGACTCAGTACTGTGCCTACCAGGTCCAGGTACCTTCCAGGCTCTGTGAAATCCTCTGCCTGCAGAAGAAGCCAAATTTATAAATGACTGAGCACCACCAAACACCCATCAGCCTAGCTGAGAATCCCCATGCAGCTCATTGGAACAGTGAGACCCTAATATCCTCAAAGCTCCTGGATGACGAGGTACTGGTTTCTTTATCACAGCACAAGCCAGAACTGCAGAAAGAGGAGCAGTGTAGTCTGACTGGGAAAATCCAAAACTTGAATCCTTTGGAGCTATTCAAATGGCTCTTTTTAAAAACTCCAGTTTCTTGGAGTATGGTTGGCTCCCTCGGGAGGTTGGGTAGGGCCTCAGGAGAACCTGTAGACCTCTCATCCCCATCCCCTCATGGGCTCTTAAGCCTCATCATCTGGCTCCAGTAGGTACTCCCCCTAGGCCAGCAATGACACCTGCCATGCTGGGGCCTGGGAACAGCAGGGTCTGGGAACACCCACCAGGAGGGGATTGCCACAACCCAGCCCTGCCAGAAAGAACCTCCCTTTGCTTGGCCAGCAACATTTCTTCTGTGCTCCCTTCTCAGAAAGCTAATGAGAGTCTGGAGGGCGGTCAGAAAAATAACAACCAGTTTTATTATGTAAGATGCAAGCCAGGCAGAATGAAAAGTGCCAGGGGAGCTGGCACACACAGAGGCTCAATTCAGCTCCAGTCCTCGGAAGCCACAATGCCAACCTCTCTGCTTGGCAGCTGGGCTCAGCATAGTCTGGTCAGTGAAGACTGGGTTCCTATTTAAGCCTGTCTTGTTTAGAGTGTCCTGGGCAAAAGTTGAGCCAGAGCACTGTAGAGTAACACATTAGTAAATTCTGAATGAAAACAGCAGAAAGGGATACAGCCAGAATAAGGGGAGAGAGAATTCCTGAGGGAGTGTGAGAAATAACAAACTCAGGTAGGATCATAGGATCGCCCGCACAATGCTCCTGACAGGTCAGCTCGCCTGAGGTGCCAACAGACTCTGGGCAAAGCTAGTGATGTGAATTGTTCTTCTGGCCACAGTTAAGATCAAGGGCCTTCAGAGGCAGAGCCAACCTCTTCAGCTGTATGTCAGACTAAAAACGATTCCATATGGCTGCCACTGAAGATGTATTGGTAAAGCTTCTAAACAGAATTGGTTTTAATTTACGACCAAGAATTCTGGGAAAGTTATGATTAGCAATTACTTAAATTTTATCAGGCTATTTAATTTCCATTAAGCCTTTCCCAACTTGACCAAAGGTAAACAAATGAAAAATAGTGCTCATTTTTTACTTTAATCTAAAAGATTATTTAACTTGTAAATAGGTCCTGCATCCTAGCCAAACTATCAATTTTTATTTAATTAGTCAATCAGCTCTTCCCAAAAAATCTTTATATGTCAAAGGGATTTTTACATGAGTTAGCAAGCAATTTAGAACTGGACAAACTGAGAGCCAAAGGAGACAGAGTCTCACCCATTAAGGTGAACACATCAAGAGTCTACAGTAATTCAATTAGGGAGATGACGTGTTTTGGTTCCCATTTCTAAAATCGTTTACTTTTTAAACCTTCGTCGTGCAGATTTTTGAAAATCTGCAGTCTCAGAAATCCCACCCATGTGTAAGCAACTGGATTGAAAACTTGCCATGTGTTTCTCGGAGATTTCTAACGAAATAGGTCACCTTTTACACCAAATGCTTAACTGATCATTATTTTAGGAAGTGAATAATAGCTTATAAAAACAAGTACCAGCAGTTACTGCAGTGTTCTCCTTTCTTGAATTTCCTCTGAGGGACGCCTAAGTGCATTCAAGCCTGCAGAGCAACATCTTCCGCACGAATAAAGACCAAGGAGCAGCCGGCGTTCGAATCGAGGAAAAACCAGCAATTTGCTTGGGGCATGAGGCCCAGGGCAAGCACCAGCCTGCAAATCCAAGTGTTTCTTTCCCCCGTAACTGGCCAGCCCAGCTAAGGAGCGGTCTGGGGTGCGCACTTAGACCTCCGCCCTTAGGAGACTGCAGGGGGATCAGGACAGAGGGCCGCGCACCATCTGCCTTGGTTCCCACAGCCACTGACTGCCAAGAGCTGTGGCTCTGAGGAGCTGAGAGGAGGGGTCCTATCACACGTTTGCAACGGATTCAGTAAATAGGGGGTGTCAGGGGCGCTGGCGTAGGAGTTGAGGGACCCAAGGGACAGAGGAGTGGCCCCTGTTGGCCCAACTCCGCACCCGCCGGCTCCCCAAGCCGGAGACCGGGCAACAACCCTCAAACTTTGTTCAGGAGCGGAGGCTCGGGGCAGGGAGAAGAATCAGGGAGGAACACTGTCTTGGGACAAAGGGCCAGTTGGGGCGCAAAGGAGAAGGATATCGCCGCGCGCCCCTTGAGGACTTGCGAGCTGAGACCCCAGGTCTTGCGCCCGGCTTTCCCCGCACTTGCCGGGACCTCCCCCCTTGGCCGAGACCACAGCCGTCCCAGCTCCCGGGGTGGGGTGGGGTGGGGCGGGCGTGGCAATGCCAATGCCACAGCCTCGCGGGCTCTAGAGCCTGGGGAGTCGCGCGGCGCGGGGCAGGGCGACGGGACCTACCAGCGCGGCCAGGATGCGCCGGCTCTTCTCGTCCGTGCAGCGCTCGGAGAGGACGCCCGGGTGCGCGCGGAGCAGCAGTGCGGCCACCAGCACCCAGCCCGCGGTCCACGCGGCGAAGGCGAGGAGCGCGCCCCTCCCGCACCATCCGCACCGCGCGGCCCGCGCCATGCCCGGCCCTCCCCGCCGCCCGCGCCCCGCGCCCCGCGCCCCGCACTCCGTGTAGCAGCTCCGCCGCTGGGCCCGGGGGACTGGAGGGCCGGGGGAGGGGCCGCGCGCGGGCGGGGTCCGAGCCTCGTAGGAGATCTGCGCGGGGTCGGATCGCTGCTCCTGGGGTCCTCGCGCCGCACGCCCTGCCCTGCCCCCACCCCGCCACTTTTCCCACGAGAATCCCCGCCCGCACTTGAACCGGGTCCGCGAGGATCCACGCCCTCGCTCCGTGCTGGACTGCCGGGACCCTGGCGCGCACCTTTAGTCCCGGAGCCCGGCACCTCCTTCTCGAGGCGCCACGACGCCACACCTCTCCCCGTCCTCCCCAGAATAAGATCCCGAGATGTGTAGGGACAATCAGAAAACCTGTGAGAGGAGCCTGCCCGCGGGCACGCACTGCAGCCGCGTTCTCTCGGCTGCCGCGAACTCGAGGGCGCCCTACTCTGGGTAAGAAGGGGCGGGCACCGTGAGCGGGGCACAGTGGTGCGCATCTGTAATCCCAGATGGAAGGCCAAAGAAGGCCAAGGCAAGGGGATCGCAAGTTCGAGCCCTACCTGGGCAATTTAGCAAGACTTGTTTCAAAATGAAAAAATAAGAAAGGGCTGGGGATGTAGCTCTGTGCTAAGGCCTTGAGCCCTAGTACCAGAAGGGGAGTGGCGCATTGTAACTTTCTCGTTTAACCCAACGAGGAAAAATCAGTCACCAATGTGTCCAAATCTGCATTGTATGTGCAAAACCGACCGGGCGCGCGGGAGGGGGGGGGTACTTTAATGTTCAAATCGAGGTGTTACTCAAAGAGGGTTGGCGCCGGGCCTCGGAGCAGCACTGCTCGCCCACCCACCCCTAACACACACACCTGGAGCTGCTCCTCCACTTTTCCCAACTTTATTCCACCGAAGAGCGAAGCCGCGCTCGGGGGTGCGCCCGGGACCAGCGCCCTCCCCGGGGCACTGTCACAGCTAAAGGGCCCGAAAAGCGGCCGCGCCCTTCTGGCTAAGGCGTTCAGTCCACCAAAGCTTGTTCCTCAAGGATTACGTAGCAGCCCATCCCAGAGGCCCTCCCACCTGCCCTGTGCCCTAATTTCTCAGGATCATTCCTGAAGTTAAGAATAACAAAATTGCTTTCTCTGATGAAGCATTCTGTATTTCTCCCTCAGGAACTGGCTTCCTAACCTTGTCTTTTCTAAACTCGCTGGCTCTAAGGTAACAGGGAAATTGCTAAACGTCAAATTAACATAACCTCAGACCTAAGGAACATTTTGGATACAGCAGAAGTAATCCATCCCTGAATGCAGCAGACCCTTGAGATTTGTGTATCCCTCTTTCAGGCACTGTAATGCCTGTGAAGTCGGTGACACACCCAATCAGAAGCAGCAGGGTGAACATTTTCACGGGCTGGCTGTATGGAAACTATGTTGTCTCATTTCAAAGCAATTGTGGAGCACAGAAAGCAACATGAGGTGCTTTAGCACCTGGTGTTAAGGGTGCGATGTCGTTTCCCTTATACAAGAAATTTATTTGGTGTAGGGTAGGAGGTAAAAAAAAAAAGGAAGGATGAGATAAAGAAATGTGGCCAGTCTTTAAAATTTAGAAATAAAATCATAATGTATACCTAAAATATACTGATTAACTTAATGAACTTTTTAAAAAAACCTTAGAAATAAAAATTGCTGGAGGGAAAGCAGAATTTGAAATCAAATTTAACATTAGGATTTGCAAGTTTTCTTGTGTGATTTTTTAAAATATGACATTAAAAAAATATGATATTAAACCCACTTTCGGCTTTTAATAAAGAGAAGTCCACACAAGAAAGGACAATCCAGGGCTGGGGATTTAGCTCAGTGGTTCCACCACCTGCCTCGAAAGCGCAAGGTCCCGAGTTTGATCCCTAGTACCCCTCCCCCCCAAAAAACCAAACCAAACAAGAAAGGACAATCCTACAACAAAGTGATCCTTTTAACAGTCAGCATTGTTTTAATAGAGCAGTTAGTGTACGCTCTAAGCTAAAATAAAATTTTTAGACTAAAGGACCCACATAGGACTGCTACCCTGTTGTATGTTATATGTGCACTGTGCAAATCTAGACTGGGCTGAAGTCCACCAGCACTGAGTTCACTAAGTCCTCTGGGGTAGAGGGGACCAAAAGGGACATTTGATCTGGAAGGGTATATTTTTTTAATTGCCTATCCAAGCAGGAGTTGTTTATCATTATTATTCACATGCACATGTCTTACAGGATAGCTGTACATACTTGACCCTAAAGACATTTGTTCCCTTAGAGTAATAGAAAGTAAACAAATAAAAATTCCCTTAGCAATGAAATAGGAAACTTTGGTTTAGCACACAAGGAGGTATTAGTTTGGTGTCATCCTACAGGCACCCCATTTGTTGCCACTGGTGCCACAACTCAGTTCCAGGTAATTCAGAATGACTGACATCCTTCCTGGGGCCCAGGAATGGGGGTCCGGATTAAGGGGACAGGCGGAGCTGGGTAGTAGCTTGGCCTAGTGCCTGCTTCACATCAGCTTGATTTGAATAGGCTTTGACTCCTTTAAAAAGCTGTATGAAATCTAAGAACTACTTCCCTTATTCCCTTGCCCAAAACTATGAAAAGTGATTCATGATAATAGGAACCACAGACAATGAGCCCTCCAGTCATAATATCAAAGGTCATTCACATAATTTTGCTTAGCCTTGAAGGAAATATAAATTTAGCTCTGTAAACCATTTTGAGCCAAAAGTCCTGCAGGCAGATAAGAGGCACCCCAAGGGACCCCAAGATTCTAGGGTCCGGCACCTGTGGTCTGAGCCTCAGGCACTACCAGAACTCCACAAAGTGAACACATCATGTAATTAGAGGTGGTTTATTTTAACTATGCATCTCTACCACCACCCTTATGCTGTGTATTCCTTTATTTCTTCCATCAGACTGGAGGATTCTTGAGGGTAGGGCCATATCTGGGACTCATTCTGTAGTCCCAGAACCAAAATAGTACCTGATAGAAAGCACATCTTTAAACGTCTGCAGAGAGAGGAGATATAGGCGCTGGCATTTCTTCTTGGAAGATCTGAAAACTTTGAGCACCAGGTGTAATTTTTCATGAGAGTGCTTTTAACACATAAATATTTCTTTCTGATTTCTTAAACAGCAGTTGAGCAATGCAGACACATCCTAGGGTTACAAATACATTAGAACATACCCTGCAGGTTCTGAACTCAGCCATTGCCAGCTGAACTCGCTACCCAGAGCAGAATATCAATGTTTTGTTTATAGGCTGTTACTAGAAGACATAGTAAAATTTTAATTTTCTAGACAAATACAGTCACTAAAGCTCATTCTGCTACCTTTGCTACCATTCTATGACCTCATAAAAATATTATTCTCCTAAAAGGACATTGACAACAAGAACTGCCCCTCTGACTGTACAGAACTTGATATAGTCTATAGTCATATTCATTAGATCGTAAGTTTCTGTCAGTGACCCAGCAGTGTAGATTAAATTATTGTTGTTATTTAATGTTAAAGAATAGGTGATGACCTTTTTTGATATGATCTGTTGGTGGGAGCAACAGGGCCAGAAGTCCATTCACCCCATTGTTGATTTGGTGTTTTAGTCGCTATAGCTCTATCAAAATATGTAGTCTGAAAGTGATCATGGAAAACACTATTACACATCATGGCCTTTTACTGAGATATCTTGCCCTATGCCAAGAAAATTTCCAGCAGTTACCAGTAGTACCCAATATTTGCAAAGAATTTTTGGGGGGCGGTACCAGGGATCCAACTCAGGACCTTTCACTTGCAAGGCAGGCAATGGGACCACTGAGCTAAATGCCCAGACCTGCAAAGGTTTTGATAGAACAAAATTAAGATTTTTAGCTCCTGCCCAGTTTTGCTGCGGCCTCTTTTGTCCTTGGCAACAGTAACCACCATGTGCAGTGGTGAAAGTGTAGGGAGAAAGTGGCCCCTTTGAGAAGGGGAGAATGTTTCTGGCCACTAGCAAGGTGGAGAGAGGCCACGACTGAAGAACAGAGAGGGCTGATCAAACCGCCTCTCCTCAGGAGTGGGCCATGCTTCAGGAAGACCTTTTAACAGCATTGTCTCTGAAGATTTACTGTACCCGATACTTAACTCGCTTTCCTATTAAGTGAGATGAGCCCACAGTTGTCTGGAAATTAGGACCTTTTATGACAGAACTGCAATTTAGGGTTTTAGTCCAACTTCTCTCCTCTTTGTGCCACTGCCTGACTTGACACAGGGGCAGGGGTCTGCGTAAAGGGAAGGAAAGCACTCATTTTCCATGGAGTTTTCGAGAAGCTGAATCCAGCTCACTGGAACAGACACCTGAGCTCAGGGGTATCCTTTGGCCTTAAAACAGCAGCCGTATTGATGAAGGCCTATGAATTGAGAAACTGCAGGCACCCGCTATTATTTCCTGTACTATTTTGAGATCATAGATCTAGAACTATACACTCAAGTCTTTGCTGGCCTCTTTTGCTTATGTCTTTGTTGCTTGTTGAGGTTGGCCAGAAATCTTCGCACAAAATGAATCACTCTGTTTCTTACAGGGCTCAGCTGGGTTTATAAGTCTCTGGGGTTTCCTAACCACCCACAATTGCGCTGCATTTTTTAGGACTAAACTTTAGGAGCTTTATAACCCCTCTTTTTCGGGCCTCCTTTCTTGTATTTTCATTTCAACTCAACACACAGCTGCTTGCTGGTATTTCCCTCCAGCCCAAGGGGAGAGACAGGAGAGTCTCCCTGATGTTAATCCTTCATATACAAGGGGGTTTCTTCATGTGAGCACATGTCAAAGATGCGTATCAGGCCCATTCTCTTTGCACAAAAGCACTGCATGGGGAACATATCATGCTATTTGGCCTTGAAGCTCTTACACAAGTATCCCTAGGAAAAAGTGACATCCCAGAATTTGTCATTTCCCATTTGGCCAATGGCATCCAA